TTTATTGTAAAATTTACTATTTACATTAGAAAGTATTTCTAAACAAAAACAATTTCTTGTTGATAGATCATCATGTGTGGAGTGGCGAACAGAAGGCTGACTACACTCTCCACCCATTTATCTATCATCACCAAAAGAGCAGCAACGGCAATTGAAGTTCAATGTACACCATTATCACAATGGTTATCGGTCAACAGAAATCGATGTTGTTGTTGTTGCTGTTGCTGTGAGGCGGATTTGTTGCAAGGGTATTTGGTTTTAAATTTAGATGCCCCTTTTTTCACAATACAGCAACAGCTGCTGTTAGGTGTAAATTGTTTTCTGCTTCTCTTGTTCTGCTTTCAAAACCTATGTTGTTGCTGTTTTTTTTATTTACATACATGTGTTTCTATTGTGTTCTTCTTTTGTTTAGTTTATTTTCTATATTGATTTTTTTCTTTATTGTTTTTATTACAGATTCGTTACAAAACACAAAGAAATTACATTGCAAAAAAACTTGTGTTTTTTGGTGACATTTTAAAACAAAAGAAACAATTTTTTGATTTATGTTGAAACGAACTAAATGATCTAAAAGAAATCGGATAACAGTTTGAAAGAGCGAGGGAGGGAGAGGTGGAGAGAGGAGGATACTATTTAAATCAAGGACACTTTTGTTTAAATTTTCTTTCTCTACACTCATCATAAAAAAGGACTCCCCTAACTGAAGTTATATTTTTACTTCATTTCAATAGGTTTGTCGAAGTACACTGGGTGATAAAATCGGGGTCATGGTCTGGGTGTGTGAAATTTTCTATTGGGAATTAAGGACCTGGGTAATAATTATCTGAAAACCCCAGAAGGAAATATTAGCCATATGTCAAAGTTCGGAGATATGGCGTGATCATTTTTTTTGCGAAGTACACTGTGTGATAAAATCGGGATCATGGTCTGGGTGGGTGAAATTTTCTATTGGGAATTAATGACCTGGGTAATAATTATATGAAACCCCCAGAAGGAAACATTTGCCATATGTCAAAGTTCGGAGATATGACGTGATCATTTATTTTTTTTTTTTTTTTTTTTTGCTGGCGACCCTACTATACATAAAAAGATTGCTCAATATATTGATTTGTAGCCATTGTATGAATTTTTGGAGATTCTGAAGTAACATCGAATGAAGAGTTTTTTTGTATAATAGTTCGTCCTGCTATTTCTCAATTGAACCTACGTCATGCTACTAAAACCCTGTATTTTCAGTAAAAATTCTTTATTACGAAGAATTATCGGATTTGTCCAAATTATTTACTAAAACATATATAGTTAGGCCAAATAAGCCAAAAAAAACTAAATTTCGAGGAAGAAAGAATCGGTTTTCTACATTTTTGAACCGGATATTCAGTTAATAAAACCGGTTTTAATACCTTATATGCATACAATTAGAAAGCTAATAAGGAAACTCGGTAAATTTATTAAACCAGACCTTTATCGGTTGTATTATATGAATATCCGGTTCAAAAATTTAGAAAATGTCAAAGAAATTATCCTTTAAATGGTTCTATATTAGAAAGGATGATAATTATCATCTTCAAACTTCCACCACTAAGACAGTTTTATAGACGGACAAACGTTTGGTGGACTGGCTTCAGAGCCAACTATTTAACAGTGAAACCATCAAGGTCTCATGTTAAAGGTCGGCATACAAACTTACTAGTAATCCGATCTTAATCAACAATTCATCGCCAATTCGTTTAAAACATATGTACCAAGCAAGTACCTTCAGCATACCCTGAAACTTTTTCGTTGAACAATTTTATTTTATTGGCTGGCAACATGGACTTGGTCCCATATAGCAGTATAGTATATGTACATTTTGGAGAAATTCGTTAAAAAATCCTAACAAAATTCGTTCAACATAAGTTTTAAGTTTGCAAATAGGGCAACATCTTCAAATACTTTTTTTACCTACAATATATCAACCAAATAGACATAAGCTCTCAAAATGTGTCCCATCACTACCAGGTCCATGAAAAGATGCACATCATCTATATATTTGCAATTTATTGATGAGACAGGGAGGTGACATTGCAATTTTGGTTATAAACATAAAAATCAGACAGAAGTTCGAACCCATTGGATAGAGAAATAGAGAGTAATACTTAAACCCAGTTTCTTAATGAAAGAAGTATTACGTTGCATTGAGATATTTATTACTTTGAAGACATAATCCCTATATCAGATTGGGGAATATTTACTATTATTTCATCTTAACAGTTCGTAACATGTGGCGTATGATTTATTTTAATTTGAAGAATAACAGGGCGTATACTGCATACACAATTAACATTGCTGCACTGTACCATTATTCTTAATTTGTTTAAGAAAATTTTTATTTGTAGGTTTTGAAAAAAAAAAAGATTTCTTAATAAAAATATCGTTTTCTAAATTGAGATTTTCAAATCCCTCCAAAAATATACCGCACACATTTGCATATATAGAAATACATTAAAAAGTATGATTCCTATTTTCTCCCCAAAATCACTGTGCATATTTTAATGATTGCATTAAATTTTGGGTAGGCGTTTTGATGAGTTTTTTGTATATATTCACCTATACTAAAAACACACACACAGATGTATAAACAAATATACATTTGCATATACCAATACACATGCCAGCCATAATTACACAATTTTTATTTTTGGTATTTTTTTATTTTATTATTATTTCATTTCTTTCTGCTTTGTGTGGCAGATTTCAAAATTTCTTCTGTTGAAAGGTGAACCATTCGACTGTGGGTGTTAATGAGAAATGTTGAGCGTTTTATGAGTGACAAATATCGGCTAAGAAAAACAAATATATGCGCTCGTGTGAGTGTGTGGTGTGTGTGTGTCTATATCATAGCCGGTATGACAGTCATAGCTGGCATGTGCGATTAATCTGAGGTGAGATTTATGTTGGCGGTTCTGATTTTTTGGAATTATAATTATACATGTATATATGTATATATTTATGGGTGTAGAAATATATGAAGGATGTGTGTTGAGTATTTTCTAGAATTTCTTGTTGCAAATCTTTTTCTTAATTCATTTGGTCATACCGAATTAATGAACTGGAACAAGAAATAACAATAGAAATATTCATTTGATTTTATCATGGTGTCAGTTATTAGTCATGTATCCATCAAATGCAATGGCATTTCTAGATGATTTGTAGAGAAGAAAATAGCGTGAACTCGTAAGAGTTTTATTGTGGCTCTTTTTCGAGTGACACATAGACCGGTATATAATATAAACTATAATTATATTGGAGAATATCGTAAGCTTATAGAATGCATGGGTTCTATGTTTGAAGCTTTTATTGAAGGAAATACATTTTTATGGCCACCTATTTTAAAAAAGGTCTATAAAAGATTTTGTATCCTTGAGAAAAATATTGATGCGGGAAAGTCCGACTATCAGCCTCTGAATAAGTATTATTAGTGCAGTACAATGGAATATATTGCAGCATTTTTTCTTCAAAAGGTAATGATAAAAATATAAAAAGCAAAGTTTAAAGAAATGTGAAATTTGTGTGAATATACATCGGATTGGTGATAACAAACTTCTTGAACAAGGTTTGAAACTATTAAATTCAGATTGGAACATGCAACTTGGGAACATATATAACATAAATATATTAACCTAGACATTTGGGAAGCATAGATTATATTTCAGATAATCCTACATATTTTTTGTCGGTCAAGTAGATCTCTTAGAATTACCGTGGATTGTCAGGAAAATTTTGAAGATAAACATAAATATGGAACCTCTTTGAAAGAATTCTAGAATGTGACGGAGGCAACATCTTCAAATACTTTATTAAACTACCACAATGGTAAGTCGTATATCATCCAAAATCGACGGAAACTCTGGACATTTATCCTGGAACTTACAGGCATGTGGAATGACATGATAGCTTTTATAATATTTGAAAGTCATAGGGTGAAATAGCAATTTTGGTTTCACACAAAGTCACGCCATTTTTTTGAAGAAAGAGTATATCATAGCTTTCTATTGAACATGTAGATATTCATTACTTTGAAGCCGTAATACCTATATAAGATATATACCAGTAAAGAGGACAATTTATTCCATTCCAAGAGGGAGTTTATTTCTTGAAAATCAGGTTAAAAAAGCTGGTGATTTGGGTTAATCTTACGCAAATATGTGTTTGACGAATTTATGACAAATATTTCAGACGAATCCGACAGGTCTTCATAATTTATACGTGAGGTTTTCTGAAGAAAGGTCGGGTAAAAGAGTGGAAAAGTACGGACAAATATTGATTTCTTGTCCTTAAGCACCCTATGCATGAGCGTAATTTTTGTAGAATATTTAGCTATGATCATCTTGTGGTAATTAATTTTAAGAGAATAAAAATGAAAGGAACGCAACACAAAGGGGCTTTTATATCAAAAGGAAGTTTCCAACCTCCAGACCATGAGCATTTTATATATCTTATATTTTCTAGAAATGTGCAATTTATGGCAACTTTTAATTGTCACAAAATTATAAATATTTTATTAAAATTTCACTTGAAATACCGATTTTATTTTTTTTTTTAATTTTTAAGTTATTTTTTTGCAATTTAGAAAATTTTTTAAATGAAAAAAAAAAAGTTGAACTATATATATATTTTTTTTTAATTTGAATTTAAATGCCGTTTTTATTTAAATTTTAAATTATTTATTTACTTGTAAAAAATTTAAATTTCCTTAAGATTTATTTTTTCCCTGAATTAATTTTTAGGGAAGGATATTTTTATTTATTTTCAAATTTAAAGTTAAAAAAATTAATTTAAAATTAAAAAATATTTCGCATGTTTTATTATCTTTTTTAATGCACGCAATTAGGTTTTCCTTTAATTTTTTAAATTTTTTTTTATTATTTTTTCACTTGTAATATTTTTTCTCTCCAAAATTAATATTTTGCAAGTTGTTTTTGGTTTATTTCTCCAAAATTTGTATTTTTTTTAAAACTCACCCTTTGGCGCAATTCACGTTCAGCTTCAAGATCATCCTGGAGCAAACGGATTTTATCCTGGAAATATTAAATATTAGCACATTAGCACTTGCATTTATTTTTAGATGTAAAATAAATATCCTTTAAAATCATTAGTCCTTGATACAATTTTAATTTTCACTTTTTTGGATTTTTCAAGCATGAAAAAAAATTCAAAATATCCATTACATAATATTTCCATTAAAAAAATATATCTATATTTTTCACACGCCTTTATATTAATCATACATACATATATATGTACACATATATATGAAAAAATATATCTCAACGTATGTATATATGTATGTAGATTTTTGAAAAAATATATATATATGTACAATTTTGTGGTTGGTTCATCATGATTCGTTGATTTTTTTTTCGGTTTTTCTTGTGTTCTTTCAAATTTTTAGTCTACACACATATCATCACAGTCACACACACTCGTTTATAGATGAGTATGTGTGTTTTAGATTTCATAGTATTGGTAATTTGATTTCTTCTTTTTTTTCTTCATCATACACATTAAATTTTTAGAACTTTTGCACTCATTTCATAACATTTTTTTCAGTTTCTTTTTAGTCTTCACTTTTTTGTGGGATTTTTTGGGCGTACTGTTTTTCGGAGTTTTTCTTTTATTTTTAAATGCATTTTCTTTTTAAGAATTTTTTTTTGTAATTTATTGTCTTGGTAGTGATTAAGTTTTTTTATTCCTCAAAATGGGGCATTTAGTCCTTGCCATATGCAGTTGTTAGTCCTTGTTGTTCGTATAGCGTAGCTTGACCATTCATTCTTCTTACCTCAAGACGGTGGAGGGCGCTCATATCGGCAGTATATTCAATGTTGATGTTCTCAACACCGGGTCCAGTGGAGGTGGCTCTATAAGAGTATTTTGAAGTACGTACAGCTTGTGATGAAGACATGTTGATTTTGGTTTTTCTTTTTTTTTAAATTATTTAATTTTTAATTAGAGTTGTAATTTAGATTGCGTTTTTTAAAGTAAAAAAATTCACTTCGTTCGCGTAAGCGCTTTTTTCTTTGGTTCTTCCAACAGAATTTCCTTTTTTCCACACGCAACAGAAAAGTCAAAAAGTAGTTGTCACCGAGTCACCGAATAATTCGTAATAAACGTCGGAGTAAGGCTGGTGATCTACTGAACGAGAGATCCCGGTGTCGTTCGAATAAAGAGTATTTCGTGTTATTGTCGGTGTGACCAACGTTTTCGTCTATTTCTACCCAAAATTTTTGTTTTTCCTCAACGCCAAAGTTTTTCTCGTTTTTCCCATTCCACTGGCCGCGATCGCTGTATCCCTACCCACCCCTTGGTCATCATGTGGCCATGTGTGTGTGTGTTGAGTTGAACTTTGAGTTTTTTTGTTATTGTTGGCTGTTGAGTGTTTAATACTTTCGGTTGCTAGCTTCCTTTGCTGCGTGTTGTGTTGTTGTTGCTGCTGCTTTTTCTTGATGGAGGCTTTTTTGGCGGCTACTTTAGCTGCTCGTTATTAGATTTTTTGTTGCTTTTGTTATTTCAAAATTTCTCAATTTTTTTCTTCATTTTTTGAAATGGATTTTCACGCTTTTTCCTACTCACACTTTCAAATATTTGTGTTAATTGCCGTTTATGCCATTAGGCGTTGTTGTTGTTGTTGCTGCTGCATTTGTAGTTCTCCTGTATCGTAGAGGGAAATTCTTCTGATTTTGGTGTGTGTTTGCTGTTCATTTCGTTGTTGTTGTTATATTTTCTCAATTCAAATTGGGCAACATATGTGTTTATCTGTCTGTCCGTTCGTCTGTTTGCCTTCCTATCTCTGCGTCTGCCGTTTACATATCTTTCGATCGCTCTTGTCTATCACAACTTTGTTTTCGAACTACATGGACCAGTATCCCCTATAGATTCACCTGTAATTAAGCAGGCAGCCGTGTGGCAACAACTTCTCTGCATCTGCTTCCCCCCCGTCTTATAGCACCTAAACATCATCGTTTAGAGGAGATTCTTTGCTTTTTGCCAAAAGTGCGTAAAAAATTATTTTTAAATTGTAAATTTTGTAGCTGTTGTTGGTCTTGTAGTTGTTGTTATTGTCGATTTTCTTCGCATCGTGAATTTTAGTTTTCTTTTGAACTTTTGATTGAGAGTTTTGCTTTAGTATCTTTTGTTTTGTTCTTTTGATTTTCGTTGGTCCATGGGGAACAAACGTCTTCGATTTTGTTGTTGTTGTTTATTGTTGTATTCTATCTCCGATTTGCAATTGAGTTTGAAGTCAATTATGGAAGCTGTTGTTTTTCATATTGATTGTTTATGATTGATCACTTGGATGAATCTAAGCATTTTTTGTTTATTTGGGGCTTGTTAGCATTATGCATTGCAGTGGAATGATTGTTAGCATGCATTACAGAACAGAGATATATAGTTCGAAATAAATACGACGGAACTAAAACGCTAAATATATTATAATGCAAAGGCAAATGTGGTTTGTCATAAAAAAATTCACATATCGCAAAAGATCAGAATCCGTAGCAGGTACAAAACCATACAGAAAATATATATCAAATTATTCAGATTCAGGAGTACAATACGTCTATAATTAATTGTTGGACATTCCTAAGTATTCTTTGATATTTTAAGATAAATTAAAAAAAAACAGTTAAAAACTAACATCAAAATGCCAGCATCATTTAATGGTACATGCAGTTAAATTCTCGTTTTGTATGCATGAAATCGTGAAATGAGTGACTTAATCACAATTCGAATGATAACACAAAAAATGCATTGAAGCATTGAGCAAATAAATATTGGTCGATATCGCAAATAAATATTGGTCATATCAATTAATTCAAAACTATACTATAACAAGTGGAAAAAGCGTTAAGTTCCGCCGGGCCGAATTTAGAATACCATGCATTATAGATATCCCGACAGTTACTTGAAATGAAAGTGTTAATACTACGTGGAACTATATTATAACGAATTTCACTGGAATCTGTGGTTAAAACTTCCGATGAAAACAAAAATGTGTCGGCTATTTATAAAGGACATATTACAAATAAGCGAACCTGCTCAAACAATTTTTTTCAGAGATATATTGTAAACTATTGAAATATTAAATTGCTATTAGAAATATTAATATTAGTGTTGATTTTCACAATACTCCCTAGATAGCAATTTTTTATCAATTCAAATATCAAACTTTGCAATGCAAGAAAAATATGATAATATATAAACCAAGCTCCTGAAGTTTCCGGCGAGTCACTGTAGATGTGTGTGGCCTAGCGTTTTTCTGGTGGAACACGGCACCTCTCCTATTGGCCTCTCCTATTCTGGCCGTTTCTTGTCAATTGTAAATGATTTAAAACAGTTTTATATTCGATTTTTAGCTCCTGGGCGATGTTACGACTGCTAACTTGCCGGTCAACTTAGATCATTTCTCCGATTTTATCTACATTTTCGACGACCGGCCTACCTGTGCGAGGTTCATATTTAACATCAAAAATTCTTGAACGGAATCTACGAAACCAAAATTGCACATAATTGGCTGTTACAATATCCGAACCATCCGTATCAGTTTGGCTTGCATTTTCGCCTTTGTCAAAGAAAAACTATAAAATGTGCCGAATTTTCTCTTTGTTCACCTCCATTGTTAACACGCTGTAACTCACAACTGAATGCAGCAAACAAAAAATAACAAAACATTTTTTTACTGCGAAATGCCGCCCTTCCAACTAGCATTTGATCGATACTTTACGAGAAATCTATCGGTACAGCCATCTGTCGAAAAAATAATGGATTTCTTGTTCCCCAAACTAATATTAAATTCTCCAAACCCCTTCTAACCCCAGTAGGAACTGTCGACTTCTTATTTAAAGAATATACCCAATTATAAAATATACCCAAAAGTGAACCTTTATCGACAATTGCACCTAGCGATTGCCATAATATACTCGAAATGCAAATTTCCGCAATTAAAAAAAAACTAAAAAGGGGTGAATATTAATTTTAAGGGTGATTTTTTACCATATACAATTACAAAATACCAAATTACAGCGACTTGGATTGAGGCCTGTTGTGCGCTCTAGTAGTGCGGAGGAAGTTAGAAGTAGTAAAAGTTTAGATTACAAACATTTGGGTTTGATTGGCGTATGAATCTAGGAATTCTGTGTTTTTGAGAACTCCTTCAGTCTTCTCCATTCACACCCCCTATGATCGGTTAGTCCGTGAAGAGTGTAATTTCCCAAGAATTGTAATAATTTAATAAAAACCAGTAAGGAAAGTAGTAAAGTCGGACGGGGCCGACTATATGATACCCTTCACCACTTTGGGCATATTCAACAGATGAATCTTAACAGACGTCGCATTTTTGAAGGATCAGTAAAATTAAATTGGACCCATAAACATATCTTTCTGCAACCTATACTAAATTTTTCATTTGGTCAGATATAGAGTTGCTTCTTACAATGGGACAAAAGTATGTAAATCAATTTAAAGCATATATCAGTCGGATACCCGTTGATTATTTGGATACATATCTGATAAACATGAGGAGTTTGGTTCACCATTTACTTCAAATCGGACGGAAATGTTTATAAAAGCTATATCGAAATCTAAGCCGATTTCATCGAAACTTGTCACAGAATATCGACCACATTTTGAGTTCTTGGTGCATCATTTAGTTAAAATCGGGAAAAAATATGGTACATCTATCCAAATTTGAACCGATTTCAATAAAACTTTCCACATGCTAGGTTCTATAAACTGTATAACATTGGATCTTTGGTGAACATTTTACTTAAAATCTGACGAAGCTATATATAGGAACTATATCTAAATCTGAACTAATTTCAACAAAACTTGCCAAACGTTATCTCATAATAACTTCTATAAGTTGTGCAAAATTTTGTGCCAATCGGACCCACCTGGGGAATTCGGTGCAGCATTTATATCTAACTTATAGGTTATACTACGTTCATTACGAAGGATATATAGGGACTCTGGTGCACCATTGGAGCTATATCTACATCTTAACCGATTTTCACGAAACTTAACACACATCATTATAGACTTCATTCAGTACGCTGTACCAAATTTCGTGAAAATCGAAAGATATAGAGGGACTTTGGTACACAATTTTCCTTAAATCGGACGAAAATATATATGGAAGCTATATCTAAATCGGAACCGATTTTCACCAAACTTAACACACATAATTCTAGTCTTAATTCAGTACGCTGTGCCAAATTACGTGCAAATAAATGATACCTGGAATTTGTATACAATTCCTTAAATCGGACGAAACTATATATGGGAGCTATATCTAAATCTGAACCGGCGGTTCCCTTCTCGATTTTAATTTTTCAAGATTTTCAATGGGCTGGTAAATCAATACCAATGCTTGTTAAGGTTTGTAACTTTGCACATATATAATTGAAGATTTAAAAGAGAAGAAAAATAATTTACAAAAAAATGTTTGTTATTGTTTTGTTGTGGTTTTAAAGAATTAAAGAGAAGTCCTTATTTTTGATGGCGGGCATGATAACTCTTCACTGGAACATCGGAATCCGAAAATTCCAACGGTGTTAGAAAGAGTACATGTCTGGCTCGTATGAACGAGGATTATTGACTTCGCTCTAAAAATAACAAAATGGTGGACCTTTGAAAAAATATTTTTGGAAAATCGCCGATTTTTTGCCAAAAACCAAGTTTAAAAATAAGGAAGATCTTCACCGATTGGCTTTATCCTAGTTCATACGAGAGCTATACACTCCAAGAGAAACGTTGCAAAATTTGGAACCGATTGGATTATTAGTTTTTGAGTTATCGTGCCCGCCATTCGCAAAAGAGAAAAACGCGTTTAAAGTTTGAGAAGCCCTTTAGCCGCCACTTGATGCTGACACAATAAATCGGCTATATCTTCAAGAGTTCTTGATATTTTCACTTGAAATTTTGTAGAGACATTCTTGAATTAGTGTAGATTCGAATTAAATCAAAAAAATTTTGACCTCGAGAATGGGGGGGTCCCCTTAAAACAGTTTTATGGTAAATTTTTAGCTCCTGGGCGATGTTACGATTTTATCTAAATTTCTCCGATTTTATCTACATTTTCGACGACCGGCCTACCTGTGCGAGGTTCATCTTTAACATCAAAAATTCCTGAACGGAATCTACGAAACCAAAATTACACATAATTGGGTGTTACAGTATCCGAACCATAAACACCATTCACGATTTTAGCCGCTTGGCTTGC